TTAAGTACCGGCGACCCGCCCCGGCTTCGCACGGGTGCAATATGCATGTATTAACATTCATACATATAAACATACCTTAAGAATCACTCTATCTAATAAAAAACCCGCATCCAAATCCGTTGCGTAGTTGTAAAGATCTAAGCATACATAGGGACAGACAGACGTCGGATAGCGACTTTGTTTTATACTATGTAGTAATGCTGTAGTGATGTGAAAAATATTATCATTCTTGAATGAAAAATCTAAATGCCAATGCAAAGTGCTAATAGATGCTACAAAAAAAAAACAAGAAGAAAGCCCTATTTTCTGTTATCGAGGTGAAAAACTTATAGAATGTAAAGCCTAAAATAACAACTTTTTTATATATTTAATGGGTTGAAGTTTGGCCCCTATCTAGCCTGGTGGTAATTGATGATGTGGCCTACGATAAAGCATGTGTACCTGTAAGCAACCAGTTCACTCACGTGGGTGTAACAAACCTATGGTCGATTTTTTGCAAGAGTTTGGAATCAATGCTTCCAAAATAATTTATAGCTCTGCACTGTCCCGCTGTGCTGCGGAGCATCAGCCTAATTTAAGTTCCCTCTCGATATCGAAGCCTGCTCACCTCTCACATAGCGATAAAATCTTCACCGTCTCACGAGGTGTCCAGCATTTTTAAAAGCTACCAACATATTTTTGATCAATTATAGCCTATGTGCGCATGTTGTGTGGTAATTAATTTATTGCTACATCATGATTGCATTCTTAAATCTCTCCCAAAAATAAACTCAACTTTTATTAATGGTTATTCTCGTTCTGTTCAATTTACTTGACGTCAGACCTACTTTAAATAAGAACAAAAAGTCACAATTCTTTTCAATTTGCCAACACAATCATCTCGCAGTGACTGTAATAGAGAAACGGCGTGTGGTCGACCTCTCGTCAAACCTGCTCCATTCAGAAAAACAGAACGCCCAATCAACTTTCAGGAAGTGCAAGACTGCACGCAAAGATTAAACGGCGCTTAATTCGTAACAAAACAATTATTTTCTTTAATTAATGCAGTGAGACCGAGGCACAAGCCACGTGAATTCTGTTTTGCGTCAAAAACAAAAAATAACATTGAACTTGAAATGTTGCCAGACTGGCTTCAATTCCACACATTTTTTTGCAAGGCAACTCTACGAAGTTGCTCCATATTCAGTACAACTCTAGCTTGACCTTTTCCATTAATGACAACAGAAAAAACTGGAACCTCCTCTTTATTTTCTGGTCCACGATTAATGATAATATGCTAAATGTTTTGCAATTAAAATAGCTAGAGAGCGAATTTTCACTCACTCGTTTCAATTTAAGACATCCCTACTTACCTAACGTTGTGAAAAATGTAACTGATGTTAGGATGCGATGGTATAATAAATCCCTATTAAATAATAGCAGTGCCTTTAGCCAAACGCCACTTTAGTGCTTGTCTACAGAGAGAGTAGAAAACTAAATGTATGGGGATGACACTGACAAGTGTCAAAATTTACGTCAATTCCATATAACTAATTTAGTTTTCTACTCGACAAGTAGACAAACGCTAAATGGCATTTGGCTACAGCTGCTGGAATGAAAACTTTCAAATAGGTACCTACAACGCCTAAATTTACCTAAAAAATTCTAAGTCAATATAACGAAATTCTAAACTCCATCTCTAGGTATAATATTTAAATCATCTGTGTAAGTAGGTATGAGTATATTTATCGTTTCCCATTAAAACGGGATTTCGTCCATTAACAGATTCAAATTAACCGTTTTCTCCTTTTATTATGCCGAGATCAATGTTAATTTTTGAATAAATATATTTATTTTAGTTCAGAACTGTGTCATGTGTTAACGAGCTTTAAATTAGAACATTAATCTTTATTAATACAAAATGATTTATTAAAATTCGACAAATGTATTTCTCAATATTCTGCATGCGTCATAATTATATTATACCTCTACCTACCTACGTAGAACAAAGTCAAAATTGTTGGAGAATAGAAACAAAGAGAAATCTATTAGGTACCATGTATACCTAATTATAATATTTTTTGAAGTAGGTATGTTATGCGACATCGACATGCGATTTCAAAAACCCCTTTTGTAGATATCCTAAACAAGTTTCCGCCACTGCGCACTGTTTAGAGATGACTAATAAGAATTCGTAATTAGTTCGCAAGATGGCACTTGACTTGTCACACCCTCGCACAGTCATTGAGTTCAATGATCCACAGGTAAAGCACCATAACACAACACTATTCGTCCTGTGAAAACACCCGCTGATACATAGGAAAAATAAGTCTATAAAATCGATTAAAATATCGATACATCACATTTTATTACAAAATAAAACACATTTTTTGTATTTTTTTTTACCAAACAGTCGATTATAATAATCCTGAATAATAACTAATCGATTTATATTTACGAATGTATCGATAACATCGAGAAAAGGTCAACAACCATGAAGTTCTCGAATTAGAGAATAGGAAATTATATTGGTGGATAAAATAATATTTAAAATGCGACACTAATGTTTAAGAAAATATCGCGAGCATTTCGCGACTCGCCAAAATGGAGAACGAAATTACCATTACAAAGCGTAAAATAAAATTAACATCTGCCGTTCTTTTCTGGTGTAATAGGGTTGACAATATTAAAATCCTTATCCTATTTTTTCGAAACCATAACCAGTTTTTTAACAGGTTTCTGTTATACAATGCCTAGTTAAGACATTTTGATAAGTATTCCATGATTTCACTAACTCATAATAATCCTTAGACCAATGCACAGATATGTTAAAGAAGCTTTTTTAATATTTCTGTGGACCAATGTAAAAAATAAGCAATAGTTAAGTTGAGTTTATTTATATTTTTTACTCAAGTAATAAGTATCGGGACAAACGGATTTTTTATGTGTCATCTTTGCTTTTCTGTTATAAAGGAGTATTTTTGTCCAAAATGCTACCTACTTATTCACAAAAATAGTAAGTATCCCTAAGAATCAAATTTTTTAGACCATAAAGTAGAAAATTCCAGTACCATAAAGTAGAAAAGAGTACCTATGCTGTTACGTTTATTTAGAGCAGTTTGACATTACAATCAGTGACATAACTCGAGCGATACACGCACACCGTGTGGGTGCAAAATGTGTTCAATCAAATACACTTGTGGGCTTAATATTCACTATAACATGGTGCCAAGTGGTGTTTGAAGCCCACAGCTCAAAGCTCTGAACATTAGGTACTATGTAATTGAATATGTAGCGAATAGACTTTGGTACTTATTAGGTAGTTTTTTTATGGCATAAAACGGTAAACGAGCAGACGGATAACCTGGTGGTAAGCAATCGGCGTCGCCCATGGCCACCTGGAACACCAGAGGCGTTACAAGTGCGTTACCGGCCTTTTGAGGATTAGGAGTTTGAGGATCGTAGGGGATTCAGGGATTGAGGAGATTGGGGAAGGGGAGGGTAATTGGGCCTCCGGAACCTTACTCACACGACGAAACACAACGCAAGCGTTGCTTCACGTCGGTTTTCTATGAGGCCGTGGTATCACTCCGGTCGAGCTGGCCAATTCGTGCCGAAGCATGGCTCTCCCACACTTACATGAGATTCCCATAGTTACATGAGATTACCATACAGGTTAAAAGGTGGTAAAAATGAACTTTCCAAATTAAGACCGTAGAACTATTCACAGATAATCTGCTTCTAATGTCTAAATACTTAAGTGAAACAAAGTTAGTTTTGGTCAAAGAAGTGATGGTAGGTTTGGGCACGTAAGTAATAGGTATGCAATCCCATTACCATCAGTAAGTCGACCTAGCCCTTATCTTGGAGGTAGAAACTCCTTTATTAGTTAAGTAAATAAGCTTGAAAATATTGACACCCTTAAGTAAATTCATTTGTAGGAACTTACAGCTCTCTGAGTGTACCTGTCTGTAGAAAAAAACCCGTGCGTGCGTTTCTCGTTGATTTTTTCATTCTTATTTATTTTACGGTATTACATTACCTACCATTCACTTTGACAACAACTGTACTTATATTTAGCATGCCCACGTCGATAAACTTGCGGAACAGATAGTTAAAAATGTAAAGTTTGCCAACCATAAACTTTTTAAAAGTATTCTTTCGATTTTCAAAAAACGGTTGACTTAGAGAATAATTCATCTTTAGTGTCTACTAACAAAATAGTTATGCATTCTGGTCAGTTAGATTTTTTGCACCTTACTGAGGTCATTTATCTAGCAAAGATTTTTCTATTCTATTACCGTACACTAGAGATGACAAAATCATTGGCCACGTGCAGAAACAAGGCCCTGGCGTCATTACGTGACAGCCCTACGCGATAGGTATCACATCACACGAAATGGACGGGCATATCATCTTTTTAAAAAATGAAAATGTCAGCCGCTATAAGTTGTTTTAATATTATTACCAGTCCACGTTTGTTTGTCAATTCTGTTGTGTTCTTTTGTTTATTAGTTTTTAACAGACCCGGTTCCCGGTGCTTAATCGGATCTTGACTTTTTATAAACGGTAAATTAAAAAAAAACCTAGTTAAATATTCATATTATTATTTTCAACGACTTTTTATTCGAGTCACCATATTGCTTAGACTCGCATAAAGATAGAATACGGGAAATCATTTGTTGATCATAAAAAAATTTAGAGTCTTTATCAAAGAGGTTGCTTTCTTGCGTTACATTTGTACATCTCTACAATGCAGAATCACATAAATTAAGAGACCAATAATTTAACCTTAATTTCATGTTTATAATAATTTAACAACATAAAATAAGCAAGTGACAAGATAATAGTGGAGATGCCTTTAAAATGCCCGGAGCTCATCGCTCACTGCGGTGCATTTAAATTAATTTCGAAGCACATAAATAAGTAGGTAGCTGCATAACATAAATGAATGCATAAACTTTATTGTCTTGGCAAAGTCGTAACTTTATCGAAGATAGATGCGTAATATCTAAACTCACCTTGTTAGAAAACTCCAAGGAAACCAAACACACAGCCTTGTAATCACTATAATCCCGATTGTGGTGCACGTGGTACTGGCACAAATATTATAGAAAACACCGAAACGTAAAAAAAACAAATGAAAATCTATTCTAAATTCAAACGGCGCGCGAAACCACAGAAATGTGTCAGTGGCGCGTCGCGGCGGACGGCCTAGGCACTAAACGTGTGTAGAATTTTGAATAGGTGGTCAAAATGGTGGGGACCAAAATCGAATTTTTCGAAATTTTGTGAACGGTAGTGTCGCATCGGTGGCGAGGTTTTGAATGGCGCGGCGGGCCGCTGTACATCCGAGACTGGCTAACAAAGCGGCAGGACATCGACTTTATAAATTGATTTTGTCCAACACGACGTAACTGTACCTCGCTGTAGATTCGGCTAAATAAGAGGTAGGTACTTCAATGCCCTTACTAATTAGAGTCGATCAGATGATATGTAGGTAATTAGAGCATAATAGCTAAACAACTTACATAACTTTAAAACGTATATAATAATATTCCAGTATCCTTAATGCATCAATTTTCTGTAGTAGGTACCTGTAGGTACACAATTACTTAGCTTTTGGTACACAATTAGATATACCTACTACACCTAAAGCCTTTATTTAAGCCACGTTAACATGCACACATAACACCTAAGTGAATGCTAATATTGAAAAAGCTGTTTTTCTAGCAGTGGTGTCTATACATATACCTCAGCAAAAGTCACATTGGTACTTGCCGTTGGTAGATTTCGTCTTTCATCTTAAACCTCTAGGCTACAGGCTGTTCCTCCTCCTACAATTACATTGAAGTAAGTACTAAAGCTTCATCATGTCATGTCGTGGTGGCTCGGAGGTTTAAGACGTCCGCTTCTCATGCATGAGGGTGCGGGTTCGAAACCTACTAACAGCAAATATCAATGCGACTTTTTCCAACTTACATGTAGGTACTTTCTAAGATTATCTGGATACTACTACTGACAAACGGTGAAGGAAAACATCGTAAGGAAACCTGGGCTTATAATTGCTAATTATAAGTTTTAAATCGCCAACCCGCATTGAGTAAGCGAGGTGATTACCTAATGCTCAAACCTTCTTCATGTAAGAAGAGACTGCTCAGCAGTGGGCATTTATAGGCTGTTGATGGATGGATGAAACACTAAAACTCACAATATGTGGCTAACTAAAACGGTACTTTCATTCATCACACCAATCATAATAATCATAATAATTTACAAAACATGTACTCATAGATGTGCACCTACACATATTTAATCTATAAAACAAATATTTGTGCTGACCACAAAGGTGTTGATAGCAGGGTTGTTGCTGATGCAGGATTTTGTCACATCAGCGGATGCTGATGCTGATGCTGATTTATTGTAATTTACATCAGCTGATGCTGATGCTGATGCTGATTTTAAGTTTTTTTTATACCTACTCAATTTTATACATTTTTAGGTACCTAAATATTATATTTTCATCGACCTACTTTTAATAAAAGATATATTTTAATAATTCTATAACTTTTTAATGAAGAAAAACAATCAACAAATACGTAAAAACTAGTTAAGTAATAAATTACCTATTATTAATACTGGAATTCTATTAATGTCAAGTTGTATTTTAAAAACAAGAACTGAGCTGCTTTTTCAGCTTGCAGTCTGTTGCGGGTAGGTTTGTATAATGCCGGCACTGCTGAATAACTGTTTGCTAGTCAGGCGGAGGTGACAGGATAGGTACTGCACTTTGCTTGCAATGCTTACAATATTGATTGACGAAATGTTATGAAATATATGTATTTTGTTGGGCCAAAACTGGGAAGCGACAGCAGCACGTGCCATTAACTCCGCCCCCTGCCGTTCATGTCGCCATACGAACTTTGAACATCAGCATCTAACATCAGCAACAATTAATGCGGATGCTGATGCTGATGCTGATGTGTACAATAATGCTGATATTCCGCTGATGCTGATGCTGATGCTGATATTTGCAACAACCCTGGTTGATAGACCAGTAGCTTACCATAAACAGTTTAAACTAAATTAGCTGCACTCTAATGGTCAATGACGGGCAGGTAAACAGAGGTCAAGTGTCGTAAGAGGTTTTAAATAATTTCAGTCATGCATGAACGAAATGTCCAAAATCTAGGCAAAAATAAGTAATCTTCAAACCTCAGTACTAAGTGCTTCAAGAGTCAAGAAAAAACTGAAGTAGTTTTAAAAAAGCGTTTGATTGGCTCAGTTTTTTGCACTTGAAACAGTTAAAACACATCGTATCGAATTGTATTTTTCCTAAATTAAGATGTTTTGCTACTCAATGCAAGTGTAAACCAATGTCCTAACTAACGACTTCGTTACAACTGCGGCTTGGCTACTTAAGCCGTGGTAGTAACTACTAACTATCTAGGTGCACATTGGATGCCGTGTTGGGCACTAGCGGAGGATTAGCCTTTAACAGTTTTTATCGGCAGTTATAGGCTTAATGACGAAAAAAAAAAAGTAAATAAATGCATTGCTTAAATGCTATCTCAGTCCCATGTACCTCTCATTAAGAGTGCTGTTACAAATACCTTCCTTTCCCTGTTAAAAACCTCATAAAGTAATAGAACTATCACCGAGTATTATGACGGATACTAAGGACGGAAGTGAATACTTTTTAAAATGCTTTCCAAATTAATAAGTGTCCGTTCTATAGAAATATTTGTAAAAGTAAGTTGGCTGGGGCTGGGCAACACAAGTAACGCGTAGTCAACATGTGTGGCCTATGTATGAGCCCTGACATAGCTTGAAACTAATCGAGTTACCTAGTCGAATAAGGTAGTCAAACGTAGGTACAACATAATTGATTTAATGATCTTACCGGTTAGATTTTTGGATACTCACTTATCAGGATTCTTAGATACGTCGTACACAGTTCGCTCCCGCGGTAAAAAAGGCGAATTTACTAGGATAACAATTAATCACAATTAATTCTCCGAACCATGACGATCATAATATGACACCCACGAGATTAGAATCTGCAATAAAAAAGTGCCGCATTTTACCATCAACAAGTCATTATCTACTTTTTTATCTCTATGTAAAACCGCATTAGTTATGACTTATGTTGAACTTTAACACTTTGAACATTCGGTAAATAATTTGGTAAAAGAGTAGCATCTCAATAAATCTGGCGATAATAATCTAGACGTGCTTTTCGGTGTTTGGTCCAAGTTATAAGATAACTGTAGGAGTAAAATAGGCACTACAAACATCAACGACATAGCCTATGACGTTAATGACTACAAAAACTAATTACATAACAGATACGTATCTACCGCTAATAAATCTAATAATTCTACCGTTGTTAGAACAAGTACATAACATCACGCCTTTTATCCCCTAAGGGATTTTTTTTTTTTTTAAGGGGGGAAATCATCGAATCACTGCCCCCGCCTGGGTGAAGCGGGAGGGAGTGTCAGACTCTTACTGACTAAAAACCACCCCGTTCCTTCTCCTGCACGTCGAGCCGGAGCCCCGGTTACCCGTTAGGTTCTCCGCGACTCCGAATCGGCATCGGCCCTATTGGGCCCCATCTGTGGTGGTCTGATGGCTCTTTGAGGCGCGCGCGGAACGCGACGCGCCGTACGCTCGGGTCTGTTTCGGGTCGGACGGGGAGCCACCCATGCTCGCCGTCCGCAGGCCCGCGCTTACGGTGGCCGGAGATCGTCCCGCGATCCCCGACGCCCGGTGTGTCCTTCGCGATGGCATCCCCTAAGGGATAGGCAGAGCTTAATGCTACTGTACAATGTAACACCCACTTTTCACTATCTATGTTATGAGTACCATGTAATAGGGGGTGAGCCTATTACCATTATACCGGGCACTATTCCCCGAGACCCCTTGCCCGGCAGTCGGACTTGCGACCACTCGGCCAACGAGGCAGTAAAACAAGTATCTATAGCTGACAACATAGTCAACGAAGAGAATTTGGTAAAAAAAAAACACAAGGGAGTGTCATTGTAACGATTGTGTAAGTACTTCGGAAAGTTCGGAAGCCCCTATCCTGAGAACAACCCGAGCGTGCAGCCATCAGGCCTCCACAGATGAGGCCCAACAGGGCTGATGCCGATACGGAGTCGCGGAGAGCCTAACGAGTTACCGGAGCTCCAGCTCGAAGTGCAGGAGAAGGAACGGGGTGGTTTTTAGTCAGTAAGAGTCTGACACTCCCTTCTGCCTTACCCAGGCGAGAAAATATCATTCGAAGATTTTCCCCCTTTAAAAAAGAAATCTTGAGAACAAAAAAAAAATAATCTACAATTGTGTACAGTGAACACGAATGGCATTTGTAATACACCATCGTCATCAATTATGCATTGAGATCTATCAGTTGGCACAGATGCACACTGTACCTACACAATCTGTAGGTACACAATGTTTACGTAACGATACGGAGATAAATAGCTAATATTCATCCATTGTGCTCAAATATCGGCTAAAGAATCCACATTCAATTTTGAATATTAAATGGACAAATCTAATATTATTACATTAAGTAAATAATTTGGAACAAACCTAATATAATTAGTAGAATGTAGGAGTTTTATTTAACTTTATCTACTAGGCTATTGGAAAATAAAATTATCTATAAAAAAATAAAAGACTACGCGTGTTCAAATGCTAAAGACCATTGACATCGAATGCTATAAACTTGTATATTGAACTTGTGAACATCATAAACAAATAAGAACATTCGTCGGCCATAAATCAGTTCGTATCTTGTACCACGCCCGAAATATATGCAAATCAGCTCGATTATCTTGTAAGCCAAAATCGACATGAGCACATATTTTGTACATGTCTCAACCAGTAGGTAGGTACAGACTCGATAATCTACCTTTTTTATATAGATTCCCAATTGCAAGGGATTTTTTGAGGGAGGAAAATCGTCGAATGGTTCCTCCCGCCCAGATTGAGGTAAGACGTGGATTTTTGTGAGGCGCATAAATTATCAAATAACTTCAACCACCTTGGGCGGAGCGAGACTGGCGAGAGGAAGTGTCACTCTTACGGACTAAAAACCACCCCGTTCCAAATCCAGCTCCGAACCGAGCCGCGGTAGGTATGAGACATTACGTTTATCCTAAAATCCTATTGCAAGGGTTAAATATAGGACTTTGGTAGGTACACATTTTTAGGCTATTATTGTTAGGAATAAACTTTAGAATGAGTTTCCAATAATAAATTGTGGGATAGAAGAATAGACGAGTAGACAAACGACCTGATAATAAGTGATCAGTGCTTCCAAACCTCATCTTAGGACACAATTGCAACACATTGCTGACACGAGACTGTTATTCTTTTTTTTAGACTTCGCAGTCATTTTCATCAAAGTTGCATAACTCTCGACAAACAGGTAAACACATACAAGCCCGAGCCGCGATGCTCAACGACCCTGCAATCACATGACAGTGTACCATAAACTTGCTTTGTATGTACATGAAGATACTTTTTACTTCAATTTACCTCTACAGTTGTCGGATAACGGAAAATGAGATGATTATGGCTTTGATTTCGAGTTTCTGCGTTTGTATTTACATAAGGACTTCTTTGGACTTGTTTAATTTGGATGTTTTCCATTCTGAAGGCAACCAACTTGTATTTTCGAGAAAATATACTCTACACACTACACACTGGCTTTCAGGTGGTGTCTTTTCACTTGGAATACTAACCTATTCTATCTAGTATACTTACTTTTCACCGTAATTCAGGAACAAATAAAACAAAAGCTAACTTATATTACATTATATAATTAAAAGATCTTGTCTCAATATCATTTACAATACGTAAAAACGTCTCATACTATTTACATCTCAATTCACAACTCATTTACAATAATAAATCACAAAAATATATAAAAAAAATCTGAAATAAAATGGACAGTAGAAAATTCTCCATTTACATAGAACCTCATTTGATCATATACTACAAACACTGTACATTATTTACATATTTTTTTTTTCAATACTGCATCTTGAGTTGTTAATTTTCCTTGGCTGGGCCAGGTGGAAGACACATAGTGCCTAGCAAACATATGCTTAGTATGTACATGTCTCGCTAAACAGTGATTAAATAAAACATTTTTAAATTCGAAAGTGGAGGCCAACAGTTTCGACATGCATAAAATGAATGGTTCCTTTGAGGATATTAAACAGATTTTTCTATGACGCCGAATATTAAAATGCTATTTTCAATATTAAATTGATTATTATGTTTTAGGCTTACTCACGTAATAATTTGACGAGGAACTCGACTAGTTTCAAGCCATGCTAGATGCTCATATTCATGAGCAGCATTTCGCGACCCGCGACGCGGCGACTGCCGCGCTGCTACTCTTCTGCTACTACAGTAGCAGCGCGACAGTCGCCGCTCTCATGCCTCTAGCATGGCTTGAAACTAGTCGAGTTCCTCGTCAAATTATTACGGGAGTAAGCCGAAAACATATTAATTTATTTAGTATGTCTCATGAAAGGTACAATACAAATATTAAATTGCACTTGGTGTTATGCTAAGTCTATTATCATAGCATAACATTACCCTGAATGTGAATAGCAATTCTTTGATAACATTTTCGCATAGTTTCAGATCTAAAGTTATACGAAAAAGTCACACAACATAATATTATTTTCTATTTCATTGTCAGTAACATTCAATTATAATAATATTATTTGTTAAATGCATTGTGTGCATATGATTGTTTGAATTGCACTAAAAATCTATTCTGAAAAGAGACATAACTTTACCAACATTCCATTTTTACAAACAAAACCAAACTCTTTTATAATTAAAAACTTGAGACCTCCTTATTCAATCAGGCAACTAAATTCATAATTATAAATAACACAAACGAACAATACATACGACAAAGTTGTGCAGTTTTGAGATCATAGTCAATGTAGGACCAGCAATGTTGTACCATGAAATCAAATGTATTGATGACATCTATGGACCATAGGTTGTAGTAAGTGTAAACATTTGTATAAGGTTTAGCTTTGGAGTCTTTTTAGTACAAAAAGCAGATAGAAAATAATGCTTAATGTGAAAAAAAATCTTTTTGAAGTTGGTTTCAAAGTTATTTCAACGAACATCGGAAATTAAAATATAGTCCATACAAGTATAAGAGATAACTGACCTTGAGAACTTATGGAAAAGGAAAAATGTATCATATTTTGTCAGCTATAAAATTGACATTGTGTTGGCAATACAGCAATAAGTACTACCAAAAGATTTATACGAAAAACTTCTGCAGTGTATATAATATATACAACATAGAAGACCCCAAATCTTCACCCGAAATGAGTACGACACAATTTGTAAACTCCTTGGTGTTTGTTCTTTTAGTCTGTGGTAGTTTACAACAAAATAGGATTGTATAAATTCGGACTATTTTGTCACAACATTACCACAACACAATCAATGATAATTTACGGAAAACAGATTAACTTGGAAAACCAATGTGAACATAGAACACTGTTTCATAGATAATTTAACAAATTACTAAATCATTTTATAGTAAGTATAAGAAATAAAATTTCATAATTTAAATGTGCCAATAAGATAATTACAATCGATTTATCATCACATGAAACATGTTTGGAATAAACAAATGAAACAAAATTCATAATCGAATTACTTAGTTTCCAAACAAATTATGAAAATTACTTTTGTGTACAGAATACAAAGTATTGCTTTTGCTTTTAGAATTTAATGAGAACTAAATTAACTAAAATCACGCGTGAATATACTGAGAAAAGCCCTACTAGTTTCGAATCACAGAGGGGTTCTTCCTCATGAGCAGCGTGTGCGGTCGCGGCGACGTCGCGCAGCTCTCAGTATATTCACGTGAGTAACCCGTGATTTTAGTTAATTTAGTATGTCTCACGATAGTTATTATAAAAATTTAATGAGAACATTTTTAATCCTTGTCGACTCTGTCATCCAACGATAGTAGGCGGAGATGATAACCTATGCTAAAAGAAATTATTGCTATCTTTCTTTTTCTGTACAAAGAGAGAAAGACGGAATCAAAATGACAGATGTATAAAAAGTTATATTTATTTTATAGTTTTAGGCATAAACGGCAAAAGTATAAGAATGTAATAAATAGATTTGTATATTTTGTTAAATCATTGTGAGTGCAATGATACAAATTGTGCATGGGCAAGTTTTCTTTAACATAAATAATATAAGCCGAATGTCCCGAATAGGGTAGATGGCTAATTTTTATTTTAATATCCGTCTGGTAGATTATTTAAAAACATTATACACGTATTTTTTATTATCTTAAGGAAACTAATTGTTTCGAATATATTGATTTGAAATATCGCATGACGTCACTTTCGAGTACGATTTATACTCTAAATTGACGTAGCTACCTCCCACTTCTAAACTTTGATTCGTGTTATCTAAGTATTGTTTTCATAAACGACAAAATAAAAAAGTACGTGTCTAACATTTTTTCATTACCTAACTTACGGACTAATTAGATTTTTAATTTTCATACCTTGTCATCATCCCTATACACACACAAGTAATCGAAGTGCTCTGATTGGTTGGTTCATTAGACCCGGCCAATCAGAACGCAACTTTAAACATAAAACAAAGTCTTAATATGCCAGTTCATCACTTTACACTCATTCTAAATTTATTTTAATCAAGTATTATGTATATATAGTTCATAAAAAAGTTACAATTCAACAATATTCTGTCTTTATCTCCTTCATCTACCAAAAAAAGATAGCAACACTAATAAATTCTTATTTGTTGGACAACAGAGTAGTAAAAATGTTTACATACATGTATGTTTTCTTGTTGCACTCACTCTGCCTGGCAGTCAATCACTCCACACGCTAGCGTATGCACTAGTAACGTAGCCTAAGTTCTTCTGTACAGTCTATGAAGCTCTCCGCTTTAATGTTACTTTGCCGCGAGCTAACTGAGATATGTATATCCGTACTCGCTCCACGTTGTTCTTTTTTACCACTATCTGTAATAATAAATAGCTCACATGAAGTGAAAAATTCAATTGTCATAAAGTTACACTCAGCATATCTCTACAGAAATGCTATATTAGTCTGTTTATTGGTGATAAACTAAAAAGCGACCTAATAGATTTTTATGAGGTTTACAAAAGTGAATTTCTGAAGTAGTTATTAAGTCATAATTCGTGAAGTTTTAATTGCACAATGAAACTAGGAATTGCAAATTAGTTAATGTATAAATGAAAGACATACCGCCTCATCAGTAATGGCGTGTATATGTCCGGGGAACTTGGGCATATCCCGTCCCTCCACTGACACACTCTGGCCGCGATGGTACCATCGACGCTCGTACAGCAGCTTGCCATCCTCCACTCGCGTCTCCGTGGTCTCACCGCTGTCTCGAACTGGTGAATCACCTGGAAATTACAATATTATACTCATAATGTCTTGTATAACTAGACATATGAATGTGGTGGAAAGTAAAAAAATTTACATAGAATGTGGATAAAGACATAGGTGAATCTTAACTTTATTTTTAGGAAAATAATAGCGATTTCAACTTTTTCATAAGTTAACAACAAAAATGTTTATAAGTGATACTCACAACTATTAGAATTTAAATGCTTCCTGGGTTGCGTGGAGTTGTGCGCTGGCGCATGATGTCTGGGTGGCGGTGAATGCCGCGAGATGGCGCGGAGGTCTGCCTCGATGTCTCGCTCATCCAATTGGAACGTGAGCGTCGTTGTGAGGGGCTTCCGACGTTTCTCAGGCGCAGGCGCTGGCTCATTCGCTCGCCGTCTAAGAATTCGCTTCATCACTGGTTTCACCTGAGGATATAACATTTTATTTACAACTGAACGGCATTTTGTTTTGCTCATGAAATGTTTATATAAACATTTAATATAAATACATTATTCAGCAATGTATACAATGAAACAAGTGTGACTCTTGTACTTTAATAAGACATATTTATGTAATGCACATTTCTTACCTCCATAGAATCTCCATTCAGCTCCATACTATGCCTCTCACTCTCAATCATTTTCCTCTTATCCTCGAAGTCATTTAGTAAGTTTTCCCTTAACTCTATCTTCTTTTCTTCAAACTCTTTTGCCGCTGCCTTCTTCTCTGCTATGTATTCTCTTTCAACTACATCGTACATATGTTCCCTATAACAGTAAAACAATACAGTAAAACATAATAATTTATTGACTAAAGAGTTTGAGTTAAAGATATTGATTAAAATTGTAATTTGTTACTTTATTTCAACAAAATTCAGTATTCTGGCTTGTATATAGTTTAGGAATACTACATATTACTAACCTATATATTTTATTTATTCTGATCCTCTCATTTAGTTGATGTTCTAGCCGCTTGACCCTCCTCAAGAACTCTGGGTGAATGCCATCCTCGAGCTGCTGCAGCTGTTTCTTCAAGTTAGCCAATTTATCTTGGTACAATCTGAAAATATTAAAATAACTATGATAGAATATTAACTATGTACATATTCACCAGGACAATAATTTTTTTGTGTTATTGGAAATATAATACCATAAAGAAACAATAAAAAACTTAAAAACAATAAAATTTTCTCTTTTAACAAAATATACTTTTGATTCACTGATACTAGAAGATTAAACCATGGATAATTTAAGATATTGCTACAGTTTGTAGATTAGAGACCCAAAAGGTGAAATTTTAAAATATTTAGTTTAATAATATAATGTATGTCGACATACTGTTCTTTAACTTCCAGTGGCTCATCGTTGTGGGGTATGTCTGTCTCACTGGCTTCTTCTGTGTCTGAAATAAATATAAATAGAATATAAATATACAGAATATTATTGTACCATTATGCACTGTACTGCAAGTTATAAAGCAACCAAAATGCAGCATCAGAAATATTAATTGTTTCAGTAATTCTGAAATTGTCTATCTTTTCCAGGGATCAAAAGATGGGATATATATGTATACCATAATGAGGAAATTAATAAAATTAGGTTAAGCTCATGAATGTATTTAACTCGTCGAGTACCGTCATTATAGACACAATTATAGAGCAATAGGTTGCGGTCACCGGTGACCGCTTGGTGTTTGACAGTTTAATTCCTATAAACCCAATTATAATAGGGTATGTATGTGCCTAATTTTTATTTAAATGTTTGTCTGGTAGATTATTTTAAATAATTAGACACATTTTTATTTTCTTATAGAAACAAATCATTTGAAATGTCACGTGACATCACTTCTATGTACATATTGTACATTTTATACATAGAAATGATGTTTTAGCCTCCTAAACTTTGATTCGTTTTATCTAAGTACTAGCGACCCGCCCCGGCTTCGCACGGGTGCAATATGCATGTATTATACATACAAACCTTCCTTAAGAATCACTCTATCTATTAAAAAAAACCGCATCAAAATCCGTTGCGTAGTTTTAAAGATCTAAGCATACATACGGACATACAGCGAAAGCGACTTTGTTTTATACTATGTATTGATTGTTTTATTATCCGACAAAATTAAAAAATATGTGTCAATATTTTTTCATTACCTAACTTACAGACTAATTTTCATACCCTGTCATCATCCCTATTCTGTGGATAGGGTCTATCCACAGCCTGTGGTACTAGCCATAACATTTACCATTTTAATAATAAAATTCTCTATTATAAATAAAACACTGAATCTGTATATCATGGTGTCTGTGGTAACAGTATTGTGTATTTATTATTTTGTGTTATTGTTAAATTGTCTTTGATAATGGACATGCCCACAGGAAGATAAAGACTCACGAATTCAATACAAACTGTATGAATTATGTTACCTTGACAGATATGCCATCGTAGATATGACATGTTTTACGTATGATAAATTAAATAAGGTAGTAACAGCTGCATAAACTGACTGAAGGACAGTACCTAGAGGTAGTAAGTAAGATGACTGTATAAATTTTTGTCTAGTAATGAAAGTTCCTTAAATAACATGTGTTTATAAGTTAATTATTGTTTTTATATAATAGGCTCAGCTCCTATTACATGGGACTCATAACATAAAAAGTGGGTGTTACATTGTACATTGGCATTAAGTGCCATAATGTGCACCTCTACCTACCTATAAAGGGGTGTGATGTTATGTGATTGTTTTTATTTCATGCATATTTCATAAGTAGATGAGTTTTGGTAATCAGAGTGGGATGTCCATATATCCTTGAAAGTTAATATACATAATTTGTAATGAATTTAAGTACAATGATTTTTATATACCTAGTGTATTTTAAAATTATTTCCACAGAAGTAAGTTCATAGAATAAAAAATATATGAATTAGCATATTTTATTTCCCCATAAGATGAATGAGTGGTAATAATAAAAGTGGTTAAACTGTTATCAGTTACTGGTGATAAGCAGATTAATGGCAGAGGGGATAGTGAACAGTACTAACCATTATAGTATTTTTTGGTGATTATATTGGTCTTATAGGTGTGATTCAATAGCTAGTTAAAACGAAACAGACTACAATTTTTTTCAATCTCGTATTATTTTTATGCTGTCCTTAACAATAATGCCACATGTGACTATGCCATATTAGATCAAAAAAGTTGGCCAAATACTACTATTTGTACATAAGATTTTTATGGAGAAAGTGACATCAAAACGATCGAATTACGTCACCTAACAGGTTGCTATAAAATAGGCGGGAATACTACAGTATGGTTAACCATGTATAAAGGTAACCTTGTTGTAATTACATAACCAATGTTTACATGTCATCAACAACTCTATATGGACACATATACAAGAGTATAGGTGAAGTTTAATGAAATAAGATACCAAAACAGGGTTAGACAAAGATCGTAAACAAAACATACCTTCGTCACTGTCCTCGACTGGAGGTGCTGCTGGTAACGTGTCGTCTCTGTCCCTGTATTCGTCCAGGTCGTCGTACCCATCGTCCTCGAAGTCATACTCGTCCCCGGGGCCCGAATATGATCCTTGGCAAGACATAGTCGAGGCGACGCGTAATAGTTGCATACAGATTGGGTGCGATCACCGTCTCAGAAACAAACTCTGACAACGAGTAACACCAATAACGACACGAGGAACAAATGGCAATTACCAGTTATGTTACTCATATAAAGAATTTAACACAAAATCCACTTCAATGAAAAAATGAAATTGGAGCAAATTGAAGCTGTTTTACGTCAAACTGGACAAAAAGCATCATGTTACCCTTTCAAAACTAAAAGATCAACAAAAAAGAACCACTGGCGCTAGTGATGCGTGATATTCTATGGGAGTAAATGAAAGGTCCGAATGTTTTCCTTATTACACGTCATTTTAGGTATGATCGAGTTAAAATCATAGACTGTAGAGTCATTTCATGCATAATCGACTAAAACATTGATAATATTTCGTTATAAACATTTTGATAATCGATACCTAATTAGGGTTTCGACTTACTATTTTTCCTTAAAACACAAAAAGCGTCAGATTATCAAAGACGGTGAAAGAAGGCGGACATAATGTCACTTAGAAAATGATTAAAGCACCAAAAATAAGTGCGCACCAAAAAAATTACAGATATATACTCTGTTATATATGTCTCGATGTTCTGCGTGTAACACAGTGTAGGCACAGTGGTTCTTTCAAGAGATTTTGTCCGCCTTTTTTTTAATGTCCTTGCAGATTACATTTATAAAGTATTCAAAGTTTTTATTGCATCCATAATATACACCTACAGATAGTTAGAAAAAACAATAGTAACAATTATGGACCGTATTGAGCACATTAAAATTTTAAATTGATAGAAGAGAGAAAGGGCGTTTACAAGGGAATCATATATTGTGGGGCACTGTTTAAAACAAGTTTATCACTAGTGAGAATGGCCCAAGGACGTTGAAAAAAACGCGGATGTAATGTCACTTAGCAATGATTGAAGCACCAAAATGACGCTTTTTGATGTTCTGTTGGCTAGTATTGATTTATATTTTTATGTGCTGGTTTTTACCATGATTCTAAGTATTGATAAAGGGCTAAGGGGAAGGCCTTAAAATGGTGTATAGTTTTGAAACCGTACATTTTCACTAAACATATAATATATTGGGTTGCTTAGGTAGGTCTGCTTATATATTCCAGTTATCACCTCTCACAGCATGGTGCACTATTTACTGGACATCCTGTATAACAGTCATCCTGACAATATTGTCCATCATTCACTCAGCGCATCTTTGAACGATGACCTTCATTCCTTTTTCAGACCTTAGTCACCATGCAGTCAAACTCGACTCCATCTGGCAATTCTGCGTTGGTGTCTATAAGATTGCACAATTCTATTGTGGCCAAGCAAATCGCCCTCGCCGTGTTTCCGGTATCGAAGATTTATCGTTACGATCCTTCACGCAACTCTTATTCTGTTTAATTTAATTAATATAAATCAAGATAATTAATTGTATAAACTAGGAAATTTTTCTTCAATGTCTTTATGTATGAAAGCCAAATGTATGTAATCTATAGAGCAATTAATAGACCACGAAATTTATAATTCAGTATGATAATACTGAAGTATAATATAATCAAACCTTGTGTCAAAAATCGACTAAATTAAAAAATCTTACTAAAGATTCTTTCATGTTCACGCAACGTTCATGTAGTTTAAAAAGTTGGTTTTGTCTATTGTTATGATTTGACGTCATGAAGGTGGACGTCATCTTGAATGAAAAATTCTTATTTTATTATTTATTTTGCTAAATTACACACGTAACGCGGAGCTACATTCAGTGATAAACGATAAAATTAAACGACCCTGCCTGTGATGTTTTCAATCAATATCAGTTCTGTGTCTAGCGAGTGAAGGTGACGCTATACGCTATTGTGTCGGTGATGTAATTTAGGTGATTGGGTGGCTTCCTAGTCCTAAGTACTAACTACAATGGAAGAGTCCTCATTCACGATCCCGGCCGACGACAATGGTGATACTGAGCTCGACCCTAGAATACAGGTCAGTGAGTGAAAAATAATGTACTGAATAACTGTTTTGGTAGGCCCTTTTAACTGCAAAGATGAGTGTCAACTTTGTCGATTATTTCGCCAACGAGCACAATGGATACGATATCTTATATCAAAACATGAAATACGGACTCATTGCCAGCAAAGAGCTCTCAGAGTACCTTAGGGAAAGGTCGAATATAGAAGAGACCAATTCGAAATCTTTAGCTAAACTAGCGAAACAAGCGAATAGTAATTGCGCGCAAGGCACGTTCGCTCCATTTTGGGGCGTATTAAAATGTTCTGCCGAGAAACTGTCCAATCTACACCAGCACATGTTTCAGAAACTGAGTGAACTTGTCAAAGATGTTGCCAGGTATGCTGAGGAGCTTCATAAGAAGCACAAAGCTGTTAAAGACTCTGAGTCTAACACACTAGAGGTAGTGTTACTGATACAGAACACCAAACAAGCTTTACAGAAAGCTAAGGATGTGTACACCAGTAAGTCAGCTGAGCTAGAGAAACTGAGGAAAGATAATGCATCTGCTAAAGATATTGAGAAGGCTGAGGTTAAGATTAAGAAGCTGCATGAAGATTACAAGCAATTAGCTGAGAAGTACAACCTGGTGAAACAAGACTTTGAAAAGAAAATGACCCAGACCTGCAAACACTTCCAAGATGTTGAAGAAGCACATCTCAAACAAATGAAACAGTTTGTCAACTCATACGCAGATATTATTCAGAACAATCATGATATGATGGGACAAGTGCATCGGGATTTCAAACACCAATGCTTGGAATTAACTGCTGAAAAACTGCTTGAGCAGTTCCTTATTGAGAAATATAATGCAATAGAGAAGGCAGTTTTAGTTGAACTACCTCTTTCATTACCTAAGCCTGGATCAGCTAACAACTCTATATCAGAGGCTGACCAGATATCAACTGTCTCAAATGGGTCACACAAACCTGCACAACCAGCTAAGGCACCAAAGAAGGAGCCATCATTTGCAAGTAAGACTTCAAGGAGAACTACCTCACTTTTGAATTTGTTTACCCCAAATTTCCAAAGTAAGGAGGAGCCTAGTGGAAGTATCGAGGGTGCGGCGCCATGTTCTGCACCATCCAGCCCCAGTGGTACACCAGCCACCCCAGTAGCACCTGACAAAGATGACAACATGGGCAGAACTACACTCAGAGAATCTAAATGGTTCTTGCGTAGTAGAAGAACTAAACCTAAACTGAAAAAACCAAAAAAGAAGAAGGATGAAATTTCAGAAAACTCAAATACTGGTGAAAAGTCTGATTTAGAAGAGAAAGAGGAAGAGGTACCAACAAAAGACGATTTCATGAATTCCCCAGAAGTTGATGAAGAAGGTTACTGTATTAGACCCAAAGATGAAAAAGGTAGTGTGTACTCCTCTACAGATTCAGACTCAGAAGAGGAGAGGGAACAGAAGATCCATGTAGAAATTAAACCCATAAGTAATGGTTGCAATCCAATATCAGCTAGTGTAGATGAGCTTAGAGCTACAGTCGAAAATATATCTCTGTACAAAATTGGCACAAACAGGCGCGGGTCTAACGCAAACACTAGCAAAGCAAGCAGTGATCTATTAGACCTGAACTTCTTTCAAAGTCCGACAGTCAGCAACCCTGCGTCGCCACATGGCAATGTTTCCAATCCCTATGCACCTTTGCAAGGTAATCAATCACATTTACTTGAAAGCCCTACTCCTGTTTCTAATGCTGAAGTTGGCGATCTTTTTTCGGAAGTAGGAGAAATGGGCCAAACAAACATCCGAACTTCCACTCCTACGATGTCATCCATCTCGCTCCCTCGTCCACCTTCGCGACGGTCTGAAGGTGACTTCCGCACCGCCGGCTCCTCGGGGTCACGCGGGCCTTCACCGCTTACTATCGGTATGGCGGATACTATACCATTGGCTGTCGCTTTCCATGAGATTATCCATTCCTATTTCCGTGGCACGGAAGAATCAAAGTGCCAAGTCAAAATGTCAGGAGATATGATGCTCTCCTTTCCCACTGGCATCGTGGGCGTCTTGGCTAACAATCCGAACCCAGCTAAATTATGTTTTAGACTGAAAAACATTCATAGATTGGACAATGTGCTACCCAACAAACAATTGATTAGTATTAACGCGATGATGTCGACTCGTGACAACACAGTGGTTGAGTTTAACATGCCAGCTTTAACGTCACTGCTGAAACGGCAGTCTGAAAAGAATCCTACAGCGCAGTACTTCAACGTAGATATACTTAAATACCAAGTCCGACCTAAAGCGGGCGCTGCATCCTGTCCACTTCAAATGGTATCTTATTGGAAATGTGAACAAGATCATACTGACTTAAAAGTCGATTATAAATATAATTTGCACGCAATGAGTCCGCCTTCTCCTCTGCTGAACGTATCTGTGTGCGTGCCTATGAATGGGGGAGTTAAGAACGTGATTGCAATGCCGAAAACCGCATGGAGTGGAGAAACTGAGCAAGCGATGTGGCGCTTCACTGAGCTGTCGCAGCATTCGGAGGACAGAGGCGTAGGCTCGCTGAAGGCGCGCTTCGAGCTGGGCAACGGCCCGTCTAGCAAAGCAACGATTTCGGCGCAATTCAATTGCGAGGGCGCGACCCTCTCCGGCATTGAGTTTGAACTAATAGGCAGCGGCTACCGACTGTCCCTCGTAAAGCGACGGTTCGTCTCTGGCAAATACATTTGTGATAGTGATTTGAACTGATTGGTCCAAAACACTTATGAATACACATGTTTGTATATAGATCTTGTTGTCGTATATTCGGAGCGTGTATATGGGATGTGTAGGTTTCTGTACTACATGTTTCTTGTGTGTATATGTTTTGGTACCTTATAGGACTGTTTCCTGTCCACAAAAAATAATTTACAATAATGTATCACAACATTGTTTGTCAATTTTCGAGTTAAATTGTTAGTTGTTAATTTGGAAATTGTATTAATTAATGATTAGGCGTATATATTTCACATCTACTAACTTATTTTTCAGAATAGTTAATGTGCCATTTTTACTATATTTTGTAAATTTCCATGTGAGAACTTGACTGTTGCACTAATACACGATACAATAAAGACAATTATTATGTTCACAAAACTATTAGGTAGGTACTCAGCCTATTTTTATAAAGATACATCACATTTTATGCTGATTGATGGAATATACAAACTTTCTCGTCAATCAACTTAAAGTCTTATCAAAGAATTAGCAATAATTAATTATCGTTTTGTTTACCTACTGCTGAGCAGACTTACTAAATAATTAAACCTTTCAATTTTATTTGGTAGTTGTATAACCCCAGGATATAAAGCTTTAAAGCAATAATATTATATCATTAACTTGGATGTGTTGTATGGAATAATTATCACTTGAAATAATATTTTTAATAATTCTGAGGTCAATGATTAATATAGCAATTTGTCTTTAGATTAAACAAACAGCAATTGCGTAATTATTATTCAAGTTTAAAATTATTTTTTGTTTGTACAATTGTGTTTTTGTATTGCATCTGTTTATATTTTTGTAAAGGCCTAAGGAATGCAACAATTGAAAACAATGAGAAGGCCACAAATCACTATTAAAGAATTATTTGTTTATATTTTTAATTATATGTGAAGTTTGACACTAACATTTGTAATTGGACTGATGTAAAATTATAACCTTTTGCTCTATGAAGCGTATTCTTGATTTTAGCATCTGTATTCCCAAAAACAAAGTCTTGCTTTAGATTTCATCGCTTTAAAAAACTCTAATGTGTACTGTGCCTACTTACTTACTTTTTACCCGGTCTATCTAACATAATTATACTGATGTTCCACTATTCCATGCAATCCTTAAGTTACATATTTTTATTTTAGTAAATTAGTTAGTGTCAAACATCACACAGATAAACCATTATTTTCATTAATTAATGTAACTATTTTTTAATATAAATAAATATATTACATTATTATTGCGAGTAAGGTTCATTGAATCTCCGTGTTGCATAATGTACTATCATTGTTTTTATTGTAATTTTCAACATATGCTAATTAAACATGTTGATGTTGTATTTTTGTAGTCAGCATTTAGAATTCGACCACCGGAGAGGATTTTTGTTATTGTGGAAATTATTTTTTTATGTTTGCAATACCATAATGAGGAGTAACTTATTAAATAATTTTAACTCATTTATATGTAATCTCATATTGTAATTTTTATATTTAAATAAAAATCATTAATTATCCCAGCGGCCTAATGTGAGTTACGAAAATAGCTAAGTGACTAACTTTACCAAAAGTTAACGTGTTCATATTACGATTTATTATATTAAAGGTCAAACCATATAATAAATAGTACCTACAACTGAACCATTCCATTATTACTATTATTGTCTCATAATTAAGTATTATTTTATTACTATTAAAATATCTATGTATCACAATTTATTCTTTTTAACATACTATAAAGGTGCGTAGCTATTCGGCTGAGTTTAAAAAAAGAACGTATTCAAAAAATCTCTTTTTCTTTTTATAAAAAAAATTAGATAAAAAAAATTTTGCTAAATGCGTAATAAAATATTTTTGTAATGTAAAATTTATCGCATGTATGGATTATGATTATAATGTAACTATGTTAATTTGAAATAAAATGTAATTTAGCATTTATTTAGTTATTTTATTAGTGTTGTATCATAATAATATCGTCACAATAGTTAATGAAATGGGCGTAAACTATGTAAGTAATGCTTTTTAGTTCGCTTTTGTTTGTAGGGACAGGAAACGTTCGTCGTATAAGGTACAGACAGTTAGATAAAGTGTGATATTTTGTCTTTTATCTAGACATAAGTGATAAATGTTTGTATGGTGATAAAAGTTGATGAATCTATAGTAATGTCGCGGATGTTTCCCGTCTCTACATGTTGCTTGCTGTTACCATTCGTTTGGGAGTACAATGTGCGTGTGCCGTGCGATTGTCTCAAGTTCTTCAATAACTTCCAGGTGGAGCTTGAGAAGCTGAACGCAGCCACCGATGAGATCAATAAACTGGAACTGGAGCTAGATGTAAGTCACTCAAAATTTATTTCTTTAACCATAAAGTTCATAATTAATCTGTTTTAGTTAGGTACGTGTTTTGTCGGTTGTATTACTAGTAATCGTAACTTCATTAAATTGAATTCAAATTAATGGCGTCTAATGATTTAACTGCGTCAAAAATGTTTGAGTTTCCTTTAAACTGTCAAACACCAAGCGGTCACCGGTGACCGCAACCTATTGTTCTATAATTGTGTCTACAAAACCGGTACTCGACGAGTTAAGGAAAGGAAGGACTTTCAAGGAAATAGCATACGATTCATAGTTAAAATGAAGTTACAAAGTAGGTAACTATATTACGTTTTTATAGCTAAAACTACTTTCCTAAACAGTTCTAACTACTCATAACCACGGCAATGGGAAAAATAATTGACCCCTTTGCTAATAAAACTCGCAAATGTCACGAATTGTACATATTTTTGTTAATGGTGGTTCCGTAAAAACAAAAAAAACTGGGGCACTTTAATAACTTGGCATGCTTAGATATTTACAACGAAAAGTGCCCTACTTAGTACGAATGTAAAATTGTTGTATTCAACTTGGCAGGCTTCTCCATTTAACCCCGTAAACTATTTTTGTAGACAGGGTGTGACATATTTTGGGTAGGTCCAAATTTATTCCAGCGGTAGGAATGTTTAAATATGTATAGGCTACAATTTTTTTGTTGGTCTCGGATATAGACAGTTTGAGATGTGAATATTGTTCACTTCCAATTTAGAAAACCCATGTGACAGGGTTAATTCTATAGTCTGAAAATGTAAGATTAATTTTTTAACAAATTGTTTGTTAGAATAGAAAAACGTAGGAAGTTGCCGTTTATACAAGCAGACAACATTGAGTCATCATGAGCGGAACATGAATATTTAATTATCACTTTGTGTAGACACTAAATTCCACGTTTATCTGTATTTCGCAACGTATGAGGAAATGTTCTCTGATCAGATAATATGCATATAAGAAAGATCTAGATTTTTCTTTAGAGTTTAAATAAACAAACTTACAGACAGGAATTTACTTCTTTGTCGCATGCGCACTACCTAGTTATACAGTTTCATTTAGTTTGCCCTGTTTGTTTGTTAGGGTCTTTATTCATTACAATATTACCCCTTCCTGGCGACAGATCGATCTGATATTTGGTACATGCTCTTAATCTTGATAACCACACTCAAACTGTCAAACACCGAGCGGTCACCGGTGACCGCAACCTATTGTTATTTAATTGTGTCTATAATGATGGTACTCAACGAGTTAAAACCATTTGACATAAAAAATATGTATTACTTATTTTCCCCCATTCGTGCACCCAAAAAGCGTTAGAAGTTCCTTTGTTTTAGAAGACAAACATCAAAAAAGACCAACCGGAAACCCGGTTACTTAATGATACATAGATTAAATACTTCCTTATTATCACGCATCCGATAAAATCGTCGATGTTATCAAATACACGAAGAAAGTGAATCTTCAAAACTGAATCAATAAAGCATAACATTTGTTTTCTAATAATAACTGGCCTAGATAAAAGATATCAATGATTTACGACCAAAACGAGGTCTTGGTATCATTTTTACTTCGTCATTGTGCTAAGTGGCAGATATTTTCACCAACTATTTACGAGTCTGGCATGATTCATGGCATTTTATAGTCTAATTTTGAAAGTGATGCCTTTAATCTAGGCGCTATGATAGGCAAAAAGCTTTGTTTTATTATAATTAATGAAGTTTTGCCTACGATAACTTTCATGCGGGAATTCTGAAAGGACAAGGGCGTCAAATAGGTTCAAGTTTCTTTTGAAGACGTATATTTTAGTAATTATAAGGTTTATTTCTTTAGTGTTTCGTTAACATGTTCTTTTGAATTTTTTATGATACCAAATCTGAATGGTTTGGAAAATCCAGCTGACATAATATGAAAATGATGGTGCAGGGACTTTTCTCGGCCATTTTTCAATGCTTCTTGCAGTCACATAAAATACGCGATTTTTCTACACGATTGAGCAACTACTGCAGTGGTTTCGATACGAATAAGTGTAATTGACTGCAATCGATTGAACAAGTTCACCTTCCAAGCCACTACAATATTTAACAGAGTAAGTGAAGCCCTACATCGGCACCAAAGAGGCCCTTTATCTAATTTTATATTGACCTTGAGGAAACGTAGGTACAAACCGACGATAACTTAATATATTCTTCATATCTTGGGTAAATTGAATTCCAGATTTCGCTGCGTCTTGTAACGTGGGCGATGTGAGATATCTTGAGATGATATTTTCCTTTTTAATATTTTCGGGTGTATATCGCGACGGAAATTGCTTATTACTTATTGGATGTTAGATTTGCAATGATAATAAATTAGCAGGATAAATAACATAACTAGCCAAAAGCGGGTGTACTAATACCCCTCTGCTCTGCTTTTTTTGAGAGGGGAAAATCATCTAATCTTATTTGGGTGTAGCGACATGAGCGTCAAACTCTTACTGACTAAAAACCACTCCGTTCCTACTTCTGCACTACGAACCGGAGCCCCGGCAACCCGGTAAGTCCTCTGTGCCTCCGTATCGGCATCAGCCCTATTGGGCCCCATCTGTGGTGATCTGATAGCCAGCAGAATAGATAGCTGCTGGATAGAGAAATAACGGATACGTGTATGATATTTTGAAGAAATTTTCGTGTACCATTCTGTCCTTTTACTGCATAAGCAAACTATTAAAAAGAGATTTGGCAGCAGAATCGTTCCGCTCAATAATTCTACCAACAAAATAACGGTACTCTGAACTTTAAGCATTAAAATTCATAAACCGACTTCCGAGTGATCGATTGAAATTTCCTAAAATACCTTCAATGTCCCCGTTACAGTTTACCGAGTAAAACGGAGTTTGGGACCGTCTTTTGTAATTTACTCGGTCGGAGTAAATCAATTTGCTCAAGGTAATTTTTTCTCTTTGTTTTACTTCGCTTTGAAGTTTAAGACTCATTTCCCATGACAAAAATATCTCTGCGTTCATAATGTACGCGTTTGTGTTTATGGGAATTTGACGTTATGTTTAGTCTTTTGTTGGTAACTTATGCTCTATTTGAAAGTTTGTTTTAACTGACGTTCTATCGTGGACAATTATAACAGGCCGATTAGGATTTAATTCGCGACCAATTTTTCTTTATATAAATGTACTTAAGCTTAATTGAATGAACCGTTGCAAGATTTACGCTTAGCAACTAATTTCGCAGTTGAGTTTTATTTCAACAAATTATACAATATAATCCAATTAGTTTTATATTTTATTAATAGCCGTAGCAAAATGAATTACTGCTACAGTATTCTTGTAGTTTTTTGTAGTATTTAAGTTAGTTTAAGACCTAGTTGGTAATTGCAGTGGCTCATATAATTACTGCAGATTATATAGAATTATAGTGCAGTGGTGTCGCCTAACAAATAAGATGAAAGAAATCCTGTTATGTGCGTTCCACTCCGTAGTTCAGCGAGACGGACCCGTTAACCAGGCTGTTTTTGCAAGGTCTACGATTACTCAGTTACCTTTTAAGAGATTTTGATCTTGGATTAAATCGTGTCAATATATCTTATATTTTCCGAATTGGTAGCCAAACGTGAGATGATTTTTAAAAGTGGTTTTATTAGTTCTATGGTAACAGGGGAAATGGAATCCTAAGTTTATGTTCCTATTGAAAACGTTGAGATGAAAGATAGCTACCTAGATCTAGATCTATGTGGGGATTGAAGAATCTTTTGGGATTGAGGTCTTTTTCACACTCGTATTGTAATTACGACAAGTCTCTCAACGAAATATGTAGTTAATTAAGTAGCTACGATTTAGTTATTGTTCTTGTACAGTATTGTCTGAGAAGAAACATCTCTTGTGTTTTCTTTTTATAACACTTTTGTTTTCAGCTTATCGAAAGTGACGCAGTTAATCTTCATGACCATCACTCTGTATGACTGATTAAACGTTATACCGATTCGCATTACGTATAAATATTTGTTGATAAGAAGCAAAACTACTTTGTGACAAATACTGGTTCTTACAACAATCAATGCAGCGTATCTTGCCTCTTATATGTAACTCCTGGTCGCATTACGGAAGGCATTATTACCTACATACATAACATCACGTCTTTTATCCCCGAAGGGGTAGACAGAGGTGCACATTATGCCACTGTACAATGTAACACCCACTTTTCACTATCTATGTTAAGAGTCCCATGTAATAGGGAGTGAGCCTATTGCCATATACCGGGCACAATTCCAGACTCCGTGCTACTACTGAGAACTTTTTAAAACCCAGTAATGCTTTGCCCGAACCGGGAATCGAACCCGAGACCTCTTGCCCGGCAGTCGCACTTCCGACCACTCTTCCAACGAGGCAGTCACTACATATTTGTTTATTTATGCCAATTAGATCTCTGGGATTGTAAATCTAATTCTTAATCTGCATCATTTGGTAGGTAAAGAATTCCCTTAAAAGACTTAATTCTTGAGAATACACAAGCTACAAGCTATCTTCTCCTATGGCAAGACTGTAAGGCTATAAAATTTCGAGAGAAAACTTAGTAATTAATTTTACAAAGA